ATATGAATTATCTGAATTGATCTTGAGTGCACTTTCGATTTGAGCAAAAATCAAACAAAAGGAAGCAAAACAAAGGAAAATGATTAAATGAAAAGATGAAATGCAAACAGTCAAGATATATACMTGTTTTTATTTGTCTTTTGAATTAGAGGATATGTCAGAAATATTCACATATTCAAGTGTGTTAGGATTATTGTTTGTTTTCCCATTTAACTGAACTCTTATTAAGCGCCGAAGAACACGACTTTACGTAAATAGAAATCTAGTATTAATTTATTAAGAACACGTCCTAATGGACACGGAAAATGTATATCACCGGAGATATGTCGCCAATGGGTCTAATGCCAACAACTGACAAAATTGTCTCTAACGACAATGTAATTTGTGGGATCATTTTGGATATTTTTATTGACTCGATTACTGATTACTTGCTCTAGCATTCAAATTTCAGACTTTGATGAAACCGTCAAAGAAAAATTMAAATAGAGAGAATTTCGGTAATGTCAAGGTCGTCAAGCAACATTGTTGAAAAAACTCCATTTAATTGTGAAACTGAGGGCGTAACACATGATTTGAAAACTACTTCAATAACTCATTAATTATCTGTAAGTTATTATACCTATCGGGTTATCCTAATCCGGTTATGTATGTACTATGTATGTTATTTTATACCCCATATATATAGCAGGTGGAGCCAACGGGGTCTAGTCTGTTGTTCTAAATAATTGTTATTTGTACTAATTTGTTTCCTGGGAAAAGATTTTTGAGCTGCATTTTTGACAATCTCACACGCAAATTTGGCGCCCTTGCCTTCTTTTAATTAGTTTTGTTCCTGGTAAACATTTTTAAGGTCAAAAATGAAATATTTGTTTACAAATAGAATTTTTATTTCAATCCCTTGTTTATACTGTAGTTTATTTTATCAATATGGTGTAGTTGTTGGGTATTTCCGGTACCAGTAGCATTTATTTTACCGGAAGTGATTCTGCCTGGACAGGGTATGGGGACTGGGTCATTCCAGGTACTTTTTTAGGCTTTTTTAGGCTG